TGATTAAAATGTGAACTGAACATTATCCAGTTCTTCTGATCTCATGACTATGAAGACCTTTTTTCATTAGGCCACATAATTCCTTCTTCTTATTCTTGACTCCACTTCTGTCATTGCAGCTGAACGGAAATGCATTGCTGTGCCTTGGAGAGCTGCTTGCACGCTTTTAAGAACATAATTATCAGAAAAAGACTGAGAAGGTGAAAAATCAGCACTAAACATAATACGAGTCCAACCAACGTGAATGTTCCATTAGATTATGGGTTGGATGGTGCCTGGGTGACATTGTTGAACTCTTTGGTCAAAGTTCTACAGAAGATTCTGTATGCTAATAAAATAGTAAAAATGAAAAACACAATTTCAAATTCCCATGAAATTCAGATTTTCTGGATCTATGAAATAGTCTTTGAACATTGTCTTAAATCAAAAATATCCCTTGAAGTTTTCTTAAAACCAAAGAATTATTCAGCGAAATTAATGAGGAATGTATATCTTGAGCACTGTGCCCCATTAATAACTATTTATATGGAATCCAATTGACAATAGTAACAAAATATTAGCTAGGAAATTTACTCAACATTTAAATAAAAGTTTATGTAAAAATGTAATGATGTTAAGTGGGGAGGAACAGTCTAGAACAGCAGGGGGATCATGGTTGTGGAACTTGAAGAATGTAGTCAATATCACTGAATTGCAATGTTGACAAGGTTGAATATGCCTGTTTTGTCATATGTATTCTCAATAACAGTCAAATTAAATGAAACTCTAAAAATGGATTAAATTGGCCATTGTTGGTATTTTTAATAAAAATGAGCCTTTCTTTTAGAAAAAGGGAGAAGTCTATGTGTATTAATGCAATTTGTCCTGTGACAATTTTGTGCCTTCTTACATATTGAAGAGATGGTTAAATTCAGATGAAAGAATTATTTTTATCTGCATTTGTCTTTTATACTTTCTACATTTTCTAATCCCAGATTGTTTCTCTATTTTAATCAGCATAACAAAAAGTGTAGTGACAATTAAGGTTTAAATTCAGACTGTTTCCATTGATCTTCTTGCTTTTCTTCTGTACTCTCCCTACCATCTATTCCCCCTCCTACTGCAGAAGGGTGGAATCTATCTTCAAGCTCTCTGGGACACTGTGAGGTACTGAGTATTCTTATTGTTTTGTCTATTGCTCTTGTCTTATATATAGTTCTTGCTCTTATAAAATATATAAGATGTCCAGAACCCATGTTTTCTGAGTACATATCATTAAAATAATCATTACTTATTGATCATACCTTGAGAATCTTGCACATAATTTCATAAATGGAAAATGTTTTTTCAGCTCGGGTCCAATCCCAAGTGGTCACCTTAGGAGAGGAGAAAATAATGCCATTCATTTAACACAAATATCCCATATTTTCTTCTTTGTTTTATTTGCATAATATGGTACATAATAAGTTGAACACCTATATGTTATATATATATATATATATATATACATCTTCTCAATTGTGAAGTTATTCTAAAGAATTTCCATGTATAAAGTTTTGATTTTATCTTTTCTAAGGCATATCACTGTTATGTCTTTTTTTTCAGCAAATATTTTAGATGATATATCCAAATTCTCTCAGTACTTTAACACTTGTATATTTTAAATAATATGTATATTTTCTACATAAAATATTA